ATTTTTTTTTTTTTAACAGGAGATTGCTGAAAAAAATTCTGTACAAGTTTATAGTAAGGAACAGAACATATTTCTTTTTCATTTTACTCCGTTAAATGCCTGGAGTACACTAAAGTATGCTAATATGTTGTTGTTATTATTGTTATTATTATTATTATTATTGTTTTCTTCCAGTTTGTTCCTTTCCGAGACTATATCGATCGGTCGGGTAACCAGGTCCTGAGCATGGCCCGGCTGGCCAAGGACGTCCTGGCAGAAATCCCCGATCAGCTGATGTCTTACATGAAGAGCCGAGGGATTGAAGCACGACCTCCACAGCCCGCCACCTCTGACCCCACCTCTGACCCCACCAGCACTGGAACCGCAAAGCAGAACAACACTCGTCCCTGACTGAGGGCAACAAGCAGTGAAGAGCAGAAGTTAGCTTGAGCAAATGGCCGTATGTATGTGTGAGTGTGTGTAAGGTGTGTAACTTCAGGGTTGGTTGGCATAAACCAAATCAGTAAACTGAGCCTAAAAGAGAGACGGCGCCTCTTTTCCATTTTCTACAACTACATCTGAGGTGTCAGGGTAGGAGGTCGAAACTTTTATTTCATTTTTTTTTTATTTTATGTTTTTTTAAGGTCGGACTTCTTCAGCACCTACAAAGTGAAACATTCTGCCAGCGCATCACACAACTCAAATAATTCATTTTGTCCAGTTAAATGTCCGTCAGACTACAGGTCTGCAGCTGCTGCTGTCTCTGGTGACTCCTGCAGAGCCTGAGACGCCTCCACTGGTTCTAGCAGCAGGACGTTTGTCCTTGTCTGGATCGTTTCATCTCAGGGTATTCTGAACGTTTGACACAAGCTAAAATCAAGGGAGTGAGGATCGCTTAGAGAGGCGTTGTCCTGCCTGGCTGCTGGTTTATCTCCGTTCATATCACACTGGTCAATAGCCAAAATAATTTTATGTTTTTTGTTTTTTTTTGTTTTTGTTTTTTTCAACTGTTTTAGGGTCGTTTTGATGAGCAGAATCCAAAAATCCCATTGGTTTTGCTCAATCAGGTCAACTTTCTGAACTATGGAGCAACATCAGCATCAAAATGCAGGACTTGTTCTCACATCTGGAGAATCTGATCAATGAGTGAAGAGCAGGAGGAGAGACTCCATCAGGACAGAAAAGAGACGGAGAATTTTACACAATGAAGACGAAATGTTCAATTTACATGTATTTACCCTCATAAATGTTTATTATTCACTTTACAGAAATCCAAGTTTGCAACATTTAACTAATACACTATGTTGGAAAACTTTTTTATTCTCCTAAAACATTCTTTGGATGATAAATATGAACAGAAATGAACTGATAAAGTCACAGAAATGTCATCAATTTAGTCAGAAGATCAGATTTCTCTAAATCAAATTAGAATAAAAACCTGATTGAGAAAAATTGAGTCACTTTTGTATTCAGCTGTGCAAAATAATCCTAACTCAGTTGAAAAAAACATAGACAACTTCCAAAAAATATCTGTTTGTAACTCAGTGTTATTTATTGAGAAAATGAAAGCTGGGTATCAACCTTGGTCTCCCAAAGAATATTAAATGTTGACAGAACAGGAAACTTTGTATTCATGTAGGTAAATATAAAATCTGTTTTTTTATGATATCCAATTTGAAGTATAAATTAATATTTTTAATAAGACATTAATGTTTGTAGCCAGGTGAGTTATCCCAAAAAAGACAAAACAAAACAAAAACGATACAGTGCGTTATGTGAAACGGTGGTTGTTTAGATGCACCCTGGTATAATCTCCCAATCTAACCTAAAACCTACAGTTTGCAATATGTGTAAGGAAGCTTTTCACTTTTAATAAACTGCAAAAACACAAAATCTCACCAAGTATTTTTGTGTAGTTTTTAGTGCAAATATCTTAGTCCACATGAAATAAAAAAATAAATAACTTATAAGTAACTTTTCAGGAAGATATAGGAGCATCTTTTAAGTAAATAATTATTTAATATTGATGAAAGCAGATGATTTCACTAATAATATGGGGAAAATGTCTTGTAAGTGAAGTAATCTGCCAGTGGGACTGGTAATTTCTTACTTTTGGGAGATCATCAATCAGCTGATACTTACATGTGAAGCTGATCTTATTTATCTCAGCAAACGTCTAAAAATCAACCTCTGTCCTCTTCTGTTCCCTCATGAGAGGGAACAGAACCCACCTCTGACCCCACCTCTAACCAGGTCTGAGCTAACCAGCTCAGACCTGGTTAGCTCCGCCCACCAGATCATTTAGCAATACTCACCTCACTGTTGAAGACTCAGTGACTTTCTTGCTATATTTTGCTACATTTCAGACCAAAAAAATACAAATAAATAAATAATTGGTATCGTCCAAAATCAGAATTGACAGGTCAGGCTGTTTGAATATCGGTAATCTTTGAATATTGGCCAGAAAACTATCAGTGCAAAACTAAACATAATTGATTCTAGTCAGTGTGCTCATCAGATCAATATACTGTCTTTTTAGCTGTGCTGATGATTCAACACAGGTGGAATGAAGTTAGCGAGTCAGTTTGTGTGAAGACAAAAAAATACTGATCCACTTAATGAATTAATAAACACAAGACGACTGTGTTAACTGTAGAAACAAAAACAAAAAAACTCAGGTGGAAATTTTCAAAGCACAACAAAACCATTTTTCATTTACTGCTTTCTGCATCAGCTGAGTTTGTTGACACGGTGTAATCGTTTCTTCTGATATTTTTATTTTTAATCAGCCCACATCTCAAAGGAACAGATTATATGTTTAATTATACAACAGTAACCAAGACTTGTTCCAGCGTGTTTTGATGGAACAGGAGCTGTGTGAGCGCCGTGCGTTTTCAGGTCACCGTGTAGAAGTAGAGCGAGTCTAGACGAATCCCACACGGACGGGACGGGAGGTCGCTTCCAACGCCCCGACCGCCGCGGAGAGTGAGGGATGCAGGGCCCCATCGGAGAGCAGATTTTAACCCCCCCTGCCTCTTCCCCGCTGCTCCTCTGTCTAGGCCTGGTGTGGGACATCTGGGGTAAATGTTGCATGAGGCCGTCGCCGCTGTCTCCAGCTCATTCCGCTGTTTGGAAAATGAACGGGGTCCGGTCGAACGTCTCAGACCAAAACGCTTCACGTGTAGCGGAGGATGAGAGGAGAGATCAGGGCCGCTTTATTCACTTCGATTTTCCATGAAGGAAGAAGAGGGGATTTTTTTTTTCCCCCAGCTTTTGTTGGGTGTCATGAATTATTCACGGAAAGTAAGCTACTGCTTAGAGGGGAAAAAAAGCCTCCATGTTTTGTTATGGTGACCCTGAAGAGCTCAGAGAAGAGCAAACAGACGGAGAGCATGAAGGCAGAAACAGCAAAAACTAAACCTTAGCAAGTGTTTTTGCTCTGGTTTCTACTGCAGGTCTCTTAGGGCATATGTGTGATATTTGTGCTATATGTTGCTGAAAAGTTACCTATTGGTTATTTGTGTCTTATTTCAAGTGTATTAAGATATTTGCAGTTGAAACTGGAGCAAAAATACCTGGAAAGTTTTAGTGGTTTGTTTGCAGTGAAGCCCTCAGGTGAATTTCCAAATTCCACCGTTTGCTTCGCTTTTCGTTCATTTTTCTGCAGGAGTTCTGTTGCGTTTCTGCGACTCAGAAGTACCTGAACATCCCACAGTCCCAGTCAGCATGGCGGCTTTAAATCAGTAATCAATGTAGATGGTTTGATGCACAGCTGGTGACGGTAGAAATAAAAACAGTCTACAATCAAAATCGTTTGAGATTTTACTCATATTAAATAGGTCTGATCAAACATGCTGAGCAATGATTTGTATGCTTTCAGCCCAAAACAAACTTTTGTGCTCAACTCTCTCTCACACACACACTGGGAGAAAGTTTCAACTTGAATTTTCTCTCCAGTTTTTCTTCTTGCTTTCAGCAAAGGGTATTTATTTCATGCAAAGTGTCTCAGACGGAATTAGACTCTCTTCCAACCTTTACTACGAGGTTGGAAGAAGTTTATTTTCAAATGAATAATGCAGAAATAAAGAAATCACCATCCTTTATTAGCTAAGCTGTATCACAAACTGGTATTCTGATGTTCTGAGTTGTATTTTTCTATCAAAATTAGCTGCAGATAAGATAAAGGTTTAGCTTCATTTTAAGATTCTATTTATTTGAAACAATATTAATTAAAAGAAAAAGTCATTTAAAGCCAGTGATATTCTGGTGAACAGAGAAAATATTTTTCTTACAAATTATTTAGAATTTATTGGGCGTTCATTGGCAAGCCGGATGCATTTTTGTACCTGGTTTTTTTTTTAATCAGTTTTCAGGAATCCATTGCTATTTAGTTTTCACTTGTATTTCCCCACATTCAAATTTAAAATGTTGCATTTAGTTTCTGTTGTCATGGATTTTCCCCTCTTTATTTGTACATGTTGTCTCATCAAGATCCAAGATTTCATTTACAAGAGAGAGAGGCTTGTTTTGATCTTTTATTTTTTTTTACAAAATACATAAACAGTTAAAAAGTCAAACACATTTAAGTTGTCTAGTAAATTTCAAGCTAAAAACAAGAACATGCTTCATAAGATGATTTTTTTTTTGTCTTAAAAGAAACTGGAAATGTCCCAAAAAACTCAGAGCGGAAAGCTCCAGATCGCTCCTGACCGAGTAGGAAAATGTTTTTTCCTAAATTCTGGTGGTGATAATAGAACATTAAAAACTGTATGACTGGTTATATCTGCGCACTGAGCTCTGACAGGTTTCCTTTTACTGTGAAAGGTTGTGCTTCCTCCTGTGGCGCACGACGCAATAAATAAAAACATTCTGTTTGCTTAAATCGTTCCATGTTTGACATGACATTTAGCTCTCACTACGGTGTTCAACACAAATTCTTACCATGTATTTTTGGTCTAGTTTATATTCCAAGTATCTTAGTACACTTGAAATAAGACACATCTAACCATAAATTTTCTGAAAGATATAGGGAGCTTGTTTTAAGTCAATAATTCCTTAATATTGATGTAAAAGTTCTGGTTCCAAAGGCAGATTATTTCACTTATAATGGAGGAAAAATGTTGTGCTATAAGTTAAATAATCTGCCAATGGAACTAGTACTTTTAAAAATCAATATTAAGAAATAATTAGCTTCTAAATCTTCCTCAAAAGATACTTGTGAATTATTTTATTTCAAGTGTACTCAGATATTTGCACTAGAAACTAGACCAAAAATACTGGAACCAATTTATTAAAGTATTAAATTGGTGCTGCTGATTATTTTAGCACCTGTGATATTAGATGTGATATTAGATGGGAAATAGATACGTGGCCTTATTTCTGTCATAATCCTACAAACATGTTCAAGGGGGAAATCTATTTTTATATGACAACACAAGAACTTTGTCATTTTGCATGTTCATGTGACTGATTCTGTTCAGGTTTTTCATTCTGTAAATGACATTCCGATGTCTTGACTTGTGCACTGTGCAGGGGTGTTGTTTATTATTTATTTTTGCTGTTTTGAACAGTTTTATTGAACAAACTGCCAGCATGATGACCCAAAATATGTAAATAAGTA